CTCCTCTAACTACATATGACGACAGTGCTGCAAAACAAATGTGGTAGGTACCACCACTAACCAACCAGTTTACAGATGTGCCAGTTCATACACCGAACATGTCGCGAACGAAATTTCTGGAATAGATCCCAGGGTCTTCGGCTCTAACGTTCGGCTGCCGTCGCGTCCCAGCCCAGCAACACTTTGCATGTCTTTGCATAACACACACAGTATGTTCTTACAAAAATATGTGATTGTATGCTATTTTTCGTTTTCAAGGTTTGCTTTATGTTTTCTCTTGTGGTTCCAGCTTATTTTAATTGTAATTATGTAGCAGGTATTGCTACATTTCCCATATGAGGTTATAGAATTGCTGGTTTTTGGGGACTATTTCATTTTCGATTTCTAAGCTATGTATGTACATATGTGTGTGTTCGCCAGAACCGATGACCCTGGGATCATGATGGAATTATAATTGCATCATTCCTGGGATCTAATCCAGAAAGTTCGTGTATGAACTGGTACATCTACATATATACTATATGGCTAGTGGTGGTACGCCTGGTCGATAGTATCGGCTGTCCAACAGTGCTGTAAGCCGCCCAAATCAGTAGGGCACAATAACAAAGTTTTCGTGTGTAATTGGTGAATTATTTTTGTTAAAAAGCCAAAATGGCCTTGGCAAATGTTCTTCTGCTCAGCCAGATCGCTGGCCATGTCATCTTGTTCATACTGTCGCTGTGCATTGTGGTGCCGCTGTTTATAAATCTCGATCAATTCTGGTACGAAAATGCGCAGTATATCCCATATAAATTATTAACAATCTCCTTTTGTCGCTCCTAGTGGACACTGTCTCCTCTTCACGACGGGCAAATGGCGCGAGGAGGACGGCATGTTCGATGTGAATTGGGCATCAAATGGATTCTGCAACTTCCCACTGATTACAGGGTTCTTCCTGCTCATCATATCAGTGGTGCAGATATATCGGTATGTACCTACTACACTACTTTTTCAACTTCCGCGGAAAACTCCCTAATCTGATTCATTGTTTGTCAATCAGATATGCACGCATGAAGGAGGAGGCTTCGTTTATTGCACTGTTCATTGACGTCGTTTTGGGTATTTGGATGCTGGCCATGTCCATTCTATCTGCCATATTTATTACACTGGGCTTCATTGTCTGGTGCGATGGTATGACCGAACGCTTCCCATCCTGCGAGATCTCGGCTGGCCAAAACATTATCCGCGGAGACACGGAGAAGATTAATACTTCGGGTTTCTACATTGAAATGGGCACAACACAGGTGACAGCTGATACTTATTCTTATGAACTCCCTATAAATTGTCTTTGTCTTTTGTAGTTTGGAGCCTGGGGCTCATTTGCCATATGTGTGGGCATTGGCGTCATCGCCTTGCTGAAGCTCATCGACAACCATCAGGTGCGCAACATCAAGGTTTCCATGTACCTGGAGCGACAGCGCCTGGTCAATCAGCAACAATTCGATGGACGATCCACACCTCCCATTGTCTCGAACGCCTCTTCTGATTCGGATAACAACAAATAGTTGGCATTGGAAACGAGCCAGCAGTTTGTGATTCTCTACGTATTACTCATCATGTGCGTTATAATCATAGTATGTCACTTAGTCCTCGTTCTTATCATAGAGGTTGAAACCAAGCAACGGCACTCCGATTTGCATGTAGTTAGCGTTGTGCCCAGTACTAATTAGAGATACGAAATCTATTATTTAAGCTACTTACGTGATATGTATTGTATATATGTATGAATTTAATCGAATATTCCATGTTATACATATAGCCAAATAAATTGATTAATATTTACGACATGTTTATTCCACAAGTGAGAATCACTCAGAATTAAATTATTTTGGTTGCAGTCATCTTTTCCACCGCGAAACTTGGAATGATTCATCAAAGAGGTTACATACTTTTGTATGTACGACTATACGTACATATATAGCGAAATAAATTGAGTGATATTAATAGATATGTATGTGAAGTGTTCTTTCGGGGATTCTGTGAATGTTCCGTCGATCATTAAACTGAACACTATATGTACAGTGTACATATTGATTTAGTGATGCTTTGTGTGATTAATTGGGAATATAATATACAAATATATTTCGAAAAATGCAATTTGAATACTCTATTCATGGAGATATATACATAAAAACTGAACTTTCGACTAGTTTGAAGCGATGCTAGAGGGTGTATGCCTACAGATTGGGTATTATCTTTTGATATTAAATCTGGAAAACATTAAAATTATTCTAGCTGGAGAACTACCTTTACAAGAGAGCAGATTCGAACGATTCACCGGTAATACTATATCAAACAAAAACTAAATTTCCCCAGAATAATTAAAACCTATTAATACCTATGAACCTACATACATGATTTTCGTTGAATACTTACCAGTATTTGCGCCCATCCCACAATATTGTTGAGTAAATTAATACAATTTTGTTATTTCAGTTACATTTATTTTGCAGTTATTTTCCGTTCGTGAGTGTTGTGTTTTGTTGTTTGTTGATGTCTCTAAAGAATCTGTCGTAATGGCAAACGGAATTTTGGGGTTTCTTTGGATTTCTTATAGACTTTAAAGCGACGCTATTGTACATTTTACTTCAAATTCCGTATTTGCTTGCGTAGTCTGTTACAATTCAATTAACAATTTTATCAGGATTCTTCTGTTGCACTTCTGGAGCTCTCGCTCCTGCTAATCATCTCCCTTCCTTTAAATCTTTGCTTGCATCGAGTTTGTTGTTTCTTAATGTGGAGCAAAAATGGTGGAGTGGAAGATTGATATAGAGAAAAATAGTTTACTTGTACATTTATGGTATTTTCTTGTTACTCGTATATATGGTATCTGTATGTATATATGTATCGGCGCTCTGCTTAGGTCTTTGGTTTTCTGGCATCCATGAACAAATTCTTTACTTCACTTCTTTTCTTGGCGGCTCTCTTCAAATATTGGGTTCTCTTTGAAATATAATCTTTTTGTTTTTGTTTTTTCTTCTTCTTAATTCTAACACTACATCAATGTATGCACTATAATTAGTATTTTTAGTTGTTGTTTTTGGTATTTTCTTGTTTTTTGTTTTGTGTGGTTTGTAGAGTTTTGGATTTCTTTGAATAGCATATTATAGTAATTTCTCTTAAACTTAGCCTAGACTTTTGTTTTTTCTGTATTTTTTGTTTTTGGTTTTGTTTTTTTATTTGAAATATATTTAAAAACATAATATTTTGTGTTGTTCGTGTAATAACATAACTGAAAGTTGTGTGTTGGTTTGTGTGCTCTTGTTGCTGTTTTTCCTTGTGCGAAATGAGGCAAAATATCAAATCTCCTGCGGGCTGCGATTCAAATTGCCGGGGGCTAATCGATCCAAGTCGATTCAAGATGAGCCCGAACCTTGAATAATTGACGGGGACGCACGTCGCGGCGCCTACGGCGCATAGGGTCGTGCAATATCGGCTGAATAGTAGAGGAGTGTCCGAATTCGTAATGTGAAAATTAAGACAAAATAATAATTAAACTGCGCTGGCGTAGGGCGCATTTTAGTCAATCCATTGCACGGCCCACTGCTGGGGCAAGCCGCGGCGTGGCCCCCGCTCGGAGAGTGTACGGAAATCGGTGTGTGTCTTCTGATTAACCCCAAGCACTGAGCCCCTTAATCGCAGCCGGTCAAAGGTGATTTGTCGAACGCAAAACGAGTGTCTGGCGATAGGTCGAATTTTGGGTGTGCATCCCGATCTCCAGGGCCAGTCCGCAGCCTGGTCTGGGTATCGGTATGCCGCATTGGAATTTTAATGTCCACTGTTATGCGATTTCCGTGCTGTCATAACGGTGCGTGTGACGGTGAGACGCTTCTCGAAAAACTCAGTATTCTTATGGTTGTGTGGCGTGTAACTGTGGTCTTTGGTCGGGGGACGCCAAGTGCACTCCGCCGTTATTCTTCCGGTATTCAACAAAACGGAACCGGATATTCATGCACCCAACGGCCCCCCACTCGTGTGGTGTGGTAGGGATGAGCCGAGTGCGCGCCCGAATACCCGCTTGGGTGGAGACCGCGCACTCGACCCATCCCTACGCGATGGGGGTCTTCTTGTTTTCTTGTACAAACATACACACATATGCATGTACGAGACGTAAACGTAAAAATTAGTATATAAATTTCTCAAAAATTGTTTTCTTTATAAGCGTTTTAAAGTTGAAATTGTAGTTTTCGGATTTCCATCTTTCCATTCCGTTCTATCATCTTCGTTCCTTCCATCTTCTTTCGCTACCTAGCTTCTCGTTCTTTTTTGTTTTCTTCGACATTCAAAAAGGTTTGTTTTTTTTTACTTTTTGAGACAAATGCAAGTGAAATACTAACACGCCGCCCAGTCGACTGACAGACAGACAAAAATCAGACTGAACTGACAGAAAGATCCATCTCTGCCTGTCAGTTTTTGCGCGGGCATGACGCCATTTCAATAAGCTTGAAAATGCATTCGTTTTCTTTAATTTTTTGTGTGTTATGTTTTTGTTTTAGTTTTAGTTGGCGCACAGCACCGGAGAAAATTTATACCAATTGCACAATCCAGACAGAATTTGCATTAAGCATCATATATGACCTATGCGTTTTTTGTGTTTGTGTTCCAATCGCGACATGTGCTATGCACTATGCCGTAGTATCCAATTTTTCCAATGGTTGCGTCCCAATTAGTAGTTTAACAAACTATGCAATTTGCAGCTTTTTCCTCTCTCGTAAGCGAATTCGAAAAGCGAATCGGATACAGAAATCAAAAGTTTCGTATAAATTTTCTCGCATCTGCTGAACGTGTGTCTTTTTCTAGTCCGGTGATTATATTTTTTGCTTCTTCTTTGTATCCATACAAAATCCCGAAGGATCTTTGCCACATGGAACAATATTCATTTACCTAATTGGTTTTATTTTTTCTTGTCAATATTTTGTGGTTTTTCTTTTCTTTTCTTTTTACTTTCCTCTTTTCTCTTTGGTTTTTTTTCAGTTTCATTTAGTTATAACAAACAATTTTCAACAATTTTGTACTTTTTGTTTTGTTTCTTTTTGGTTTTTCATTACATTTTCCCTGGTTCTTCATATTCTTCATATCCTTCAATGATCATGCATGCATGATTCTTCTTCCTTTATCATCCATCATCATTCCTCTCACGGCTTGCGGTTTTCTCTGTTTAACGGTATCACTAATCTGTTTCTGCTGTTTCTTACATAGGAACAAAACGAGAAGGAACATAATATTGAACTTGAATTTGATACATCTTCTCAGGACTATTGCGCTGAGTTTTAGAACAAAACCTCTATCTTCCCTAACATCTGTATACTATCTGAATATCTGTATATCGGATTTGTTGCTGGTTACTCTGACTGGTTCTGGACTGTACTGTATCTATTTCATAGGTTAACTTTCGTAGAGTCGCTGCACTATGAGGTACAGTTGTGTGTGCTTCGAGCTGTTTGAGTTTAACGTACTTCTTTCAGACACATGCGGAAATGCGGGAGGAAATGCGGTTGCGGGTCTGCTGAACTTTTGAACTTTTGGCATGACTTGGGATTCTTTATACATGGAGTGGAGTTTTGTTGTAGTAGAGTATAAGAGTGTTGTAAGAAGTAATTTTGATTACAGCTTTTGATTTGATTTGATTCGATTCGATTCTTGTTTGAGCTTGGACTCCGGCTATGGACTGTTGCTGTTTTCTGATCCTGGTTCTGGTTATTTGGGTGGGTTCTGGGTACTCCTGCTTCTGCTTCTGCTGCTGTTTGGCGGTTGGTGGGGTGCTCAAGATGCATTTTGTGCGGCTGGTTTTTGGTTGGCTGGCTGGAATTAGCACGTTAAATCAGACGCTCGCTATACCATATTCAGAAATCCGTATTATTGCCCGTTCCGCCATCGCCCACGGCCCCATCGACCACCTCGTCCACGCTTGGCGGCAGGGCCAGCGACAGTTGGGGCGTCGCCGAGCCGGCAACGATCATGGTGGGTTCCGTGTTCCTGCGCTTCATTTTCAGCTTGTTCTTTTTCAACATCGTGGCCTACGTTAACGGTAGTTTTTATTTTTTTTTGAATCGTTTTTTGTGGTGCACCAATCACATTTCCATGAATGAGTTGGAATGCAATTCGTTTAGAAAAATTGATTTGTTTTTATCATTGATTTGATTTAAGAGTTAGGATTACAATACATATTTCGTGTGTAAATCGGAGCGCATAGATCGAGTAAGAAGAGCGTATATAGGTAAGTAGAGAAGTAGGTGGTGTTGTTGTGTGGTACAGTGTATTGTATTTTTGGAGAGAAAAGAGAGAGTAAGAAAATATATAGAGTTAACGTAACGGAAATCATGTGTCGATCCTAGAATTATAGTTGTTCCAAAAGCTAGATCGCATTAAAATTGGTTGAGAAATCAGGCAAAATGCAACTCAATAAACTAAATGGTTTTCATGTGATTCAATATTATTGATTGTATTATGATTGAAAAAAATGCTTGCAAGACCAAGAAAGAATATATGATATGGCATTTGCATAAAAATGTTACTTCTTTCTGTATTTGTTTTATATTTTCTCCTAGAAACAATAGAAAATAATTAAAAGCATGGACAACTGAAACAAAATTGTAGACAATTTCTAATCGCTGTGGGGGGGTCTGTGCTGTGTACTGTGGTGTGGTGTGGTGTGGTGTGTATTGTGGTGTTGTGTTGTGTGTTTTTAGTTTCTAATCAAGTTCAAAAGCGGTGGTCACTGTTCATCTTTGTGCAGAGTGGTGGATGGGTGGTTGGGTGGTTGGGTGGGTGTGTACTGTGGGTTTTGGTGGATTGTTCTCATATAGAGCTTCGACGGCAGCCACTCCAGGTTTATCTGTTTTTCAAATCTTGGCACCAATTGATTATTTACAATCCCTTCGCTTGTCAGCTATGTATGTATATTCAACCTTTTGGGTGTATGTATATTTACTCATAGTTGATTTGTTTTCGTTTCTTGTTAATGCTATACGTTTCTGTTGATTCTCTTTGAATGGAAGATTAAGTTTTAGTTTGCTTTCGCAATTGGAGTTTTGCTCTTGTTCTAAACATTACAATGATTACAAGAGGATGCTCGCTATGAATATGAACGACACGCCTCTGTTTTCCTGTTGCTTTTTGTGTGAATTAAGTTTACTGTTGCGCTTATAGTTTCGTCTCGTTTCGTTACTGTGACTATGGGAAAAAACAGGAAAACCAATATCTCAGGCCCGAGGCATAGGCGGAGGGCAAGCTCTAGGTGCTGCCAAAGCTAGGGGGCAGCACCATTGATGATGCCCCCGCCGCCTCCTTATCGCCGTTCTCTGGCAGCTGCTGCTGCTGCGCTTGCTGCTGTTGCTGCTGTTGCTGTTGCAATTGTAGTAGTTGCTGTTGCTGCTGTTGCTGCAATTGCTGCTGCTGCTGATGCTGTTGTGCCTGCGCCTGCTGCGACTGTGCCACAGAGAGACTCAGGACCGCTGGCGAGATATGCGGCTCCGTGAGGCGGCGCTTACTCTTCGTTTTCTTCAGCATGGTGGCCTGGATGTAGCATATAAAACACACACATGGGTCAAAACCAACATACACATACGCACACACACACACACACACACACACATTTAAAAGAGAGAATGCTACAAAGATATTGATTTTGTGTGTTTTTTTTTGTTTTTTCTGATTTTTTGTTAGTTTAGCTTTAGCACCTTATTCTTCAATCTCCGACAATCAATCCAACAAATGAAAGATGCACAAAAAACGTTGCTCGGTTATGCGGCTATATTTTACATGGTTTTTTTTTTGGGTGTGGTTTAGGGTGGTTGGGCGGGGCAGTGGCATGGATGTGCTCTATTTAATTACAACAAAGATCGGGCGGGACCAAAGGGACAAAATACATGTGGAAACATACAGGAACACGCATATCAAGCACACACACACACAGAATAAAGTACTTCTAAGTCAATGGAATTCGGTTTGGTTTCATCTTTATAATTTATAAAGCGCCTCAGCACTATATCTTCACTTAATCAAAGCTCAATCGAACGATCATTCAGTTTTAGGAGTTTTAAAATTAAGATTTGTCAGCTATCGATTAATCGGAAATCGTTTCAGCCAGGACTATCAAATGCGGATTTTGGACTTTAATTAAGCAAAAACAAAAATTCGTTTAAATGATTAGCGATCATTAATGGAATAACGGAAAATAGACTGTTATTTAACTATAGATAATTACGATAACTATATAATGGATTATTTTATCGAAAATAATCAATATCAATTAAACCGATTCTTTATAAAGTATTTTCACTATTTTGTCTACTTGCGAAAATCATCAATATTAAATTGAAATTTGGATAAACTGCGATATGTCATAATTTTTAGAGGGAAATACCCTGGTCTGATTGTCTTCGTGTCCATAATTTTTATTCGATTTCTTAACTTTAAATTGCTTTAAGCGGGGCTTTTCCTTTATTTTCATAAGCTGTACCTATATAGATAGTCTCTAATTTGAACTGTCACGTATGCTCATACTTTTTCTTTTCTATACGGTGTAACACTCAAATGCAGATAAATTGTGTGTGGAGGGGGAACACAAAAATGTGGCAGTGGAAATGTATGAGTAATACCAATAAAGATCTGGCTCTGATCTGAGTATAGTATGTATGAATCAAATAATATATATGTACGAGTATATGTACACAACAGAAAATGTGGTAAATCTTAAGAAGCAGGCATGCCATAGAATTGGAACAAAGGAACAAAGGCTGGAGGACATGCAAGGCAACGAGAACATGGAGAAAACATACCTTGAGAGCCGACTTGAGGACCACAACATCGCCGGGACTCTGGATCCAGGGCTCGCCATCAACTTGAACGGGCATGTCCGTGTTCAGGTGTATTTTAATGTGGCCACCCTAAAGGCGATAGAATACCCTTTAGTATACATGGTTTTCATTGAAAGTAAGTAGAGTCCCAACGAACCTGAGCTATGCGCATGGCCGTGCGAATGCCCGACTGGATCTGGCCCAAATGGACAACGCCAGTGACTCCGACCACCTCTAGCATTCCATCGTAGTGGTTCGGGGTGGAGAATTGATCATCCTTGTCGGGACCCCAGGGATTGGCGCCGCTGCCCCAGCTAAAAGGTCAAAGAGTTAGCAAGGGTTTGGAAACATTTAAAACGAAAAAGATTGATCGACATACCTCAATATGTTCAAAATGATGATGCCATCAACTGGCGGCAGTTCCACAACCTTGCCGTCGACCTCCAGGCGCAGCTCCTTGTGCAGATCCTTGACCGCTTTGCGTCCGACGATCTTTCGGAGACCCATCTTGACGTAGTAGCCCTTGTTGCGGAGCCGCGAGTTGAATTGATTCGGATTCTCCTCTCGAGCATTGTGGAAGTCCAGGCACAGATCGGCATCGATCCCAATGCCAAAGTAGTTGTTCATCACAAAGATCTGTGAGTTGTCCTCATTTTGTGCGCCACCTGCATGAGGGAGGACATATAGGAATAGAGAAGAATTTGTTAATTGGGGGTCATGAGGCAGTTCACATAGACACATAGACACATGACACCGAACATACAATAGACACAACATCGAGATGAATATATCCATAAGTCTGTGGGGGTATACTGAATAAATTACCCACCAATTCCTTGATCCTCTTGGGAATTCTGTACTTTCTCAATGAAATACTTTACCTTCTGGGGAAAATAGAATAGAGATCTAGTGTTTCGGGCATGCTGATCGGCTGTACACATCGAAACTAAACAGCATTAATCATCATCAGATACCAAACATCTACGAAACACTTGGTGTATCTGAAAGGTGGGCTTGGTGGTTTTTGGTGATGTGGGTTTTGCAGACTAAAACATATGTACATATGTTACAGCCGGAGTATCTTATGATGAAGCACAGATGTAATTACAACGAACGTTGGGAAGGAATTGGATGGGTTTTATTTGGATTCGTGAGCTGGGGTGTTTGGGTTTGGGGCTTGCTTGGAGAGTGGTTCTTGGGTCGGATGAGTTCGATCAGTAGTTTGGGTTAAGACACTATAGACATCAATGTGGTTGGGTTGGTGGTTTTGTTGGATGGGTTTTCGGGGGTATACATTTTAGTCTGTAGATTAAACAACGAACGAACGAACGGATTGTTTTGTAAGCACCAAATGACCTGATATATCACTCGATGTCAGAGCCGGTAATTGATGATGCTGATTGGTTTGTTGCGATTGCGATTGCGATAGATGTGCTTGGTGTGCCTTCTTCTTCTTACCGGTTGTTTGGGACGGCGCCTTCATGGCCGGCTCTTCGGGCTTATCCTCCGGATGGAAGACAACGGTCCAGCGATCCAGCCGTATCTCCTCGGCCTCGATCACATCCCGCAGCAAATTCAGCGGATCTTCGCCGCCGGTATAGCCAGAGCCCCAGCACAGGACCCGAGCCAAATCATTACCTAAACGACAAGGCTAAGTAAATGTTTTTAAAAGAGGACAGATTCTTTTGTGCTTACCCGTTCCGAGTGGAACAATGGCGCACGGTGGGCTAGAGCATTCCGAGTCCTGGCCAACATTGTCCAGACACTGCAGCACCCATCCAATGGTGCCGTCACCGCCACAAACCAGAATCTTGTAGTTGGTTATTTGGCGGAAAACATACAAACTGAAAGACGGAGACATTGGTTACAATCTGTGGCGAATGGCTGGAGCTGCTGGTTTGGATTTACCCTGGCAGAGGACCTCCATTGTCCAGATCGAAAACCTGATAGGGATTCAGCAGCTTCCTGAAGCTCGAGATCAGCTCCAGGCCCTGGCAACCACCAGACTTGACGTTGACAAAAACCAGCAGCGGTCGCACATCGGAGGGGACCATGCTGGGCTCAATGTTCGGCAAGAGCAGCACCAGCAGCTTCTTGTCCTCGATGATCGTCTCGCGGAGATTATAGAAGGCACGAACCTACATGGAATAGAAAGGTAATAATTTAGAGGGACCTCTGTCAAGGATCCATGAGCTTTCCAGGACCTACCGCCTTCTGGGCATCCTCAAAGGTCAGGACCACAGACCCATACTCGTAGTAGATGGGTCCAATGCTGATGAACTTGTTCTCATCGGTGACGTACTTGTTGAGGATTTGCTCGTAGTTTCGCTGCGAGAGCCCTGTGGGCAGATTGCCCACGAAGAGGGCAATGTTGGGTCCATGGGGATCCTGCTTGTGCTGCATGTAGAAGCGCATCAGCTCCATTTGGCGTATTGAGTCCTTGCCCAGCTGTTTCATAATATCCCAGGGTCTCTCATTCCACGAGAGGATGCGTTCGGTAACGCCACGATCGAGCAGCACCTCCGAGCATCTAACAGATACAAAGAAAGATGTATTTAAAGGATGGAATAGGTTTTTATGTTTAAAGACATCCTGTAAAGACCTGTAATCTTGTATCTGGTTATCCTGCAGCCCGAACTTGTCCAGCGCATCACGTATCAAATCCTTAATGACTGTGTTATTATCTACAGGAACACTGACATAGGGATCCTCCAGTGCACACTGCAGCTTCCCAGGATACACACGGACATGGCCCTTTTCCTTGTCGTGAAACCGAACGTATATTGCCGGTCGCTTGCCCTCCAAATGCACAAGACTCAGCACTGGTGTTGGGTCCAGCATCGGGGTATCCTCCATGCCAGCGGGGGCATACATATCGGTCAGATAGAAGGCCTGCGGATCGCGAGTGATGTGGAAGGCCCGCAGCGCGGTGGTCAGTAGCTGCTCCAGCGTATACGTCCGCTGCACGATGATCACGCGATACTGTTGGCGTCGGAATGAGTTGTTGCCATCGAAAACCTTGATCATCTCTGTAAGGGAAAGAGTTGAATTTCGTTCCTTGGGCTTCTCTGGGGATGTGGGGGGTTAGATCTTACCTATATCCTTCTCCTCGCGCTCCTTTTCCTTCTTCTCGCGGTCCCTTTCCATTTTGGCTTCTGACTTGGCATCCGACTTGTGGCCGGCGGAATCGGGCCTACTATAGTGCCCGGAAGATCCTCCACCACCACCACCACCACCACCGCCCGATGGTGCCGCAGATCCACCAGCAGTGCTGGAGCCTCCCCCGCCGCCTCCACTGCCACTGGCACCTCCTCTTTCGCCTCCACCTCCACTGCTGGGTCCATGGCCCGATTCGGTCTTGCTGGCGGACTCCTCATCCTTGAAGCGAGGCGTATCGCCACTGCTGAACTCCTCGGATATACTGCGTGCTGTTCGATCGACGGGAGGAGAGAGATAGATAGAGGGCTTTAGTCGCTGGAGAGGAGCATCCCGAGTGGTGGATGGCATTGATTTTAGTAGCAACAAAAGCGAATACATCCGCTTGAATGATCCTCGTGTTAGCGACATTTGAGCATGCGAGTGTTAGAGGTTATGGGTTAGTGGTTGATGCGGATGCGGATGGTGCAAACGATGGTTAGATGGTTAGTGATTCGAGGGATTCGAATGGTTCGAATGGTTAGATGGTTAGTGATTTGAATGGCTCGAGTGGGTTAGTGATTGGCTTGGCTCAAAATGAAACGAATAACGAAACCAAAACCAAAACAGATGTTTTTTTGTTAGCGCAAAACTAGAGAACGGAACGGAAAACAGGAACCAAGACTGCAACGAAACTCGACCGGATCTCCGGCACCTGGCACCAGGGACAGACACAAACAGAGACAGACAGAAAGAGAGGCAAAAGAGTAACAGGGAGAGAGAGAGAGAGCGGTTCACCTCTGCGCTTCTGGTAGCGCGGCTTGCGCCAGCCGACGGAGAGGCCACGCACGTGCCGCAGGAGTCGCCCCAGGACGTGGCCATCGCTGGCGTCGCTGGCCCGCGATCGACTGCTGGCACCGCCATCGCTGATGTCGCCGGCAAAGGCCGCCAGATCGTCGCTCTGGCCGCCGGGCCGATCGTCCAAGTAGAGATCATCGAAGCACACATCGTCATCCACATCAGTGGCATCGTGGCCTCCACTGCGGCGCGCCAGCATGTGGTAGTTGTCGTCATACGGCCTGTAGTTCCCATCCTCGTCCTGGATGGTGATCTCTATGTTCTGCGACAGCCTGTCCAGGCTGTAGTTGCTCTTCACACCGCCGCCACCACCCGCCACGCCACCGCCAGCCGTGTTCTTGGGCGATCTCTTGGATCGCCGCCGGAACAGACCGCGTCCGTACTTCTTGTAGCGGGACACACTGACGCCTGGCTCCTGGAAGGACTTGCTCCGTCCCACGGGTGAGAGCTGGAGCAGTGTGTGCGTGAGGGAGCCGCTGGCCGGGGCTGAGGGCGAGGCCGAGGAGCAGTCGCTGGAGTTGGGCGAACTCAGGGATCCGCCCTTTCCGCCCACCTTGTGTTTGTGCTTCGAGACACTGAGTATGGTCTTGGGCTTGGGCTTGGCCGCCAGAGCGGCCCCAGTCTTTGGATTTGGGCTATTAGCAGCGGCAGTGGCATTGGCAGGTGCAGCTGCGGTGCCTGTGACAGCAACTGTGGGTGGGTGGGCAGTTCTGGAGGCATGGGAGGTGTTACTATTACTACTATTATAGCTAAGGTTGCTGATCAGATTCATGCTGGAGTCGAGCTCATCCGTGTTCGTCAGCTCGCCCCCGGTGTCCGAAGTCTCGTAGCAGCTTTCCCGCGGCGCCGTCTCCATCTCCACATCGCCGTGGTAGTCCGTCTCGCTGACTTCCCGTGGCTGCCGGCGGGCGGCTCTTTCCCGCCGGCGTAGGGACACGTCGCAGTGATCGTAGTCGTCGCTGATGTCGCCACCGCTTATATCACAGACACCGCCATCCACCTCGTCTTCATCCTCCTCATCGTCCTCCTCGCTTTGAGAAATACCACCGCCGCGCTTTCGTCGCCTCCTGCCGGGTCCCAGCTTCCGGAAGATGCTCGTGTAGAGCAGATGCAGCGAGGAGTTGGTCGACGGCGACTTTTGCAGCGGGCCCAGGACGTTCGAGGTGGATGTCGTCAGCTGCAGGGCGCTGTCCGCCTCCGTTGCAACGTAGTCTTCGTCCTCATCCTCCTCCTGATCGTCGTCGGGGCGGTCCTGGTCCGGTTCCAGCTCGGTGCTCGTCTCTCCCACTGTCAGCGAGGGTGTGGGCGAGTGGCAGAGCGAGATGGAGCCGCAGGATGTGGGCGTGGGCGGTGATGAAAGGAGAAAATGTTGTTTCGATTGCTCAAGACGCTGCCGATGAAGCTCGAGCAGCTCCCTGAGGCAAACCACACCTGGCACCGTTCCAGACCCCGTTCCAGAACCTGGTCCCGAACCAGCACTGAGATCCGGACTGGCTGCCGGACGCACCCACATACACATATTCACATTATTCAACCGAAAAGAGAGACATTAACGCAAGAGAGAGGAGAGAGAGAAAAAAAGAACAAACAAATAAATCAAAAATCAAAAACGTAAAAAATCAAAGGAACAAAAACGTAAGAGAATCTTTTGGTGGAGTTTTTTTTTAAAAGAGAGTGGGTTCTGCAGATGATCTGAGAGATGAGGGCGTGGATGAGCTGGAGGCGATGTGAAATTCTGAGTTCTGAGTGTGAACACAACATCGAGAGCTGCTGCTTGAGGGTTTCTTTTCTTTTCTTTATATGTTTTTGTTGTCGGGTGAGTAGTGGGTAAGTGGAAGATATTGCATCTTATATGTCCCTAACAAAAATATTTCCTGAATTTCAGAAATTTCGATGGTAAAGTAATCCGAAAATGGTCGCATTTGCAGGCTAATTTTGATATCAACAGATGAAGAAAGTATGCCTGAAATGTGGACAACCTTTTTCTGATTACCAATTCGAAAAAACACATTCAGAAATTGAGGAAATATTCGTGAAACCTTGTGGTACATCGTATACCCCTATTTCGGTTGATACTTACGACACGAATAGTCGCGCACGAGCGTCGTTTTCGACTTGACCTGGACGCCGATGATCGCCTCGATGGGCACCTCGGTGCGTGGTATCGAGACTGAATGCGGAGGTAAGTAGATAGGTTGTAGAATACCAAAATTACATTCGGTTGGCAGGTACATGCGACATCCGGCATGGGTGGTCATGCCACACCACTCGCAGCGATAGCCTGAGCGAAAATCACATTTAAGTAACATTATTAATCAAGAAATAATCGTTTTATTATAGTGGTCCCACTCACCAGTGAGACATTCCGATGACCAACAGGTCTTCTTGCAGTATGCGCATTTGGACGTTGATGGAAGATTGCCCTCTCGCCAGTGGTGCTGTTGTAAGGGATAACATTGCTCGATCGGTGTGCGAGATCTACTGGATTTATACTCACTTGATGCTTCACATTAAGCAGCTCCTTGCCGGGCACATAGGTGGCATTCTCTGTGCAATCGGGCACGGCAAAATCTTGGCACTCAATATGCGCGAAATATTCGCAAACTGTGAATAAATAATGCATTAGATTCATAAATAAGACTCTATGATATACGGATTCCACTGGGACCCATTCCCTATAAACGAACGGATGCATGCACCAATCAATTGCCAGTCACGTGTGAGCGTGGGAGGCAACATCCTAGTGGAACCAATATCATTCGAGAAATTACTAAGGAAACTGTAACATTTGTTGGTTCACAAACATACTCGTATCGATCGTTTTCTAACAATGGATCATCGTTCAATATAGCAACTGACATGATGGCTGACAACCTGACAACACAACCAGCGGAGTACGTGTCAAGCCCGATGTGGCACATGGAGATGGAGGACAGGACTGTCACTTACCTAGACAATGCACCGCTGGCGTTTCATCCAATCGCTTACGGCAAACTGTGCAGAATTTCCTCTTGTGATGGGTTGGCTCGGACCAACAATGGGCAACGGGATTCTGTACGCAATGACACGATGACAGTCGACACAGTTATAATCATCTGAATAGCAGGCAATGTGTGTTGGATATATGTATGTACGTACCTTTATAATGCATGGAGCGATGCCGGAACAGGGTGTTACCACATTCGTGACACATCGTTCGTGTATGATAAAGTTGCAAACTGCAAGCAGGAGAGAGATAGAGAGAAGGCACATGTCAGTGGAAGTTCTTTCTTTTCACGGCAATCACAATGGTTCACTCTTATCTAAAAAAAGCAGACCTATCTCTTCTTCCCATTGTGCCCCCGAACAAATTGGTATTTAAAATTCCAAGTCCCTTAGCCCCGCAACCGCAGCCGAAACCACAAAGTCACCGCGTCATTGCCAGCAGCCTGCACTGTGTGCCCCATTCATGCTAGCAGTTGCCCCGAGTTCATGGACGAAGACACATTCATTGAAGTTTCCCGTGCACCCACACCACAACACACCACACCTTTGGCCATGAGCCTATGGGCCCACAAAGGAATAGAGGGAGATCACTGCACTAGCAGGCACCGAAGCAAAAGCGAAAGTAAGGCAAGAGTGAGAGAACTGCAGGCACTGCAAAGTTCTCCTCTCCCTTCGGTTCCTGCACTTGCTCTCATTTGAGTACTGGCGAAACGAGGTAGCGGCTAATTTGCACATAGCTTGTACCAGAAAACCCTCTTTTAATCCACAAGTACAACATGGGATTGACGTGATTACTCAATCTTGCTCATCTACTGAATCTACAGCAAACCAAATGGCAAGTACTGTCTAGTTTATACAGGGCTTAAAATATGGTATTTGAACGATGAGTCGCTCTCTTCCTTTCCCTCTCCCTCTGCACGCCATGGTCTTTGAATGCCAAGCGAATCACAAAGGATCAACAACAAAAAAAAGGAAACCAAATCTATGAAAAAGTGTGGTACATAAAACTTTGTACATATGTACATATGTATGTACTATTGGTGTGAGTGTTCTTTTTTGTGCTAGCTTAACATAGATATCATAGTTCTATTTTTAGCATTGCGTAAAAGTTGTGCGGAGAATAGACATACATATGTATGTACATATGCTAGCGTGTGTGTATATGTAACTGCATAATTATCTTTGTGTGCAGCAACAGCAGCAGAAGCCGCTGGGGGGAGGGGTGACGAAAAAGAAGCAGAAAACTAGGCCGCTGACCTGAGGCGCATCTCTGACGTCACGACTGAACTCGTGAATGCCGCCGCTGCCAGCCAACTTTTAGTTTTTGTACACAAGTGCATATACATACATACATACAAACGTACGTACAAATAAAGCAAGCAGTGCACGACGGAGGACAAACGTGACGCGCGTCATGGACTCAATGCAGTTGCACGCAAAAAGAAACAAGAAAATATAACTGTAAGTTGATAGCGTGTCCTCTCGCTCTCGCCTGGGGTTACTCGTGTTTACTTGAGTTTATGGCGAATATTAGTATACCCTTGCAGAAAGGATATTGTGATTTAAAACAGATATTTGCTACAGAGAGTAATATCCCCTCCAGGTCCTTCAGCTTTAAAGATATTTCGTGGAAACTTTTCCCATAAAATTCTCACTACACTCAAAAAAGATCACTAAAACCCAAATTTATAACAATGTTTAGCTGAAAAGTAGTGTGTTTGTTAAAAAAACTTGTATGTATCTAAAAACTTTAGAATATGTATTTTTTTTTCTGAGAAAACGCTTTTTTTTTTTAATATATTCCAACAAAGTTTAATCAGCTTTTCCTCAGCATCAGGCGATCATAGAACTATAAGAATATAAAAAGCTAGCATTCATTTTCGTGCTCTTGCATTGCATGTGCATAATTGATGGCAGAATGGACGAAAGGGTGTGTTGGGTGCTGGCTAAGAAGTGGCTTGGGGTTTGGCAGACTACCCTGCAAAAGCAACAGCTGAGTCAACTCTGCCGCCGCGTATACACGCCCCTGTGGGGGGTCAGAGCATAACGGTACATCTTCTACGCTTTTGCCCGTTCCCTTGATTGTCTTTGTTGCATACACTTGCATTATGTATACCAAAAAATATCTGTGTACTTCTCCCACTCTCTCTCTCTCTCTGGCGCTCACACGCTGTCGCTCTTTCTCTGTTACTCTCTTTTAGATAAGAATAAGCAGACAATTAGGCAGAGAGGAAGAGAGTCTGAGAAGCTGCGACGCCACCGCATGGGGAAATTTTCGAAATGGTTTTCTTTGGTTTTTGTATTCCCGTTTTTTCGTGCGTGCGGCTGTGGGGAAAATTGTGTCTGTGGAAACTCAACACACTTTTACTTTTACAGTTTCCTTTCTTGCGTCTCGTTTCGTTTCGTTTCTTTTGGGGCAATAAAACCAAGAATAACAAAAGGGAAAGCAGAACAACCAGAAGAAGTAGAGGCAGCACAAAGCCAAATTTAAAGCACACACACACACATGCCGTACTACTTGCTAGAAGATGGGGTGAGTGGCAGAAGAGAGAAGGAGCGGGAGTTTTTGGAGGTTAGGGACAATTGAATATACGCACAAGTTGACATGCGTAGTCCGGGAAGAAGAAGAACAATTAAAATGGATATATGTACATGTGTATGTACGAGTATTTTCGCCAACGGGAGGGAGAGTTATACAATTCAATTGTGGAAGAAGAAGAAACAGAGGAGAAAGAACTCTCCTTCTGGCTTAAAAATAGCTGTTCATAAGCATAAGCATACACACATGCAAAGACATGAACATACAGCACATACATATGTACATATGAATGTAAATATACGCAGATGAAGTGACGCATGACGGAGAGCATACATGTTATATTTGTCCCACTCCCACTCCCGCACTTAGTGGTGCTGCTGCAACTTCGATGGCAACCAAATTCAATATCAATTTCATTTCAATCTGATTGCCCCTTTTGATTGAAGCATTCATCATCCCACAGATTGCAGTACAAATGGTACATCCAATGAGAAAATCGTAATGCAATTTGTGCTGCTGCTGCTGATGATGCTGCTTCTGCATGCAAACTGCGGTTTATTTATAGACCCCCCTCGAAATAGCAGCACAAAAATACTGCAGAGATGTGTATAAAAAACCATACATTCACGCATGCATATGTACAATCATATTTACATAAGGTACATACATATATGAAAATTATAGGTCTAATTATAAATGAGGCAGTGCTTTACCGCACTTCAACCCACACAACCCACGCACATGCACTGTACGGTCCCTATGGGAAAAGGATGCAGCGTGACGTGACGTTGATGCCGTTAGCATCCTCCGCTCTCCCCTACCAAGCTGTGCACTGCTTTCCACTTTCAATGCTTGACACTGCTTGACTGACATACAATCGGATTTTGGTTTGTTTTCGCTTTTGTTCGGAGGCTGGCCAGGCGCACCTACATACGAGCACGCTGCCTGTTAAACTCTTCAGACTCTGGAGTGCAACGTCAGCAGTGCCCTCCCTTCTCAGTTGTTCCATTCCTCCATCTTCTGCCTTTCACCCTCTTCCATTCCTCCATGTTCTACCCCTCCACCTTTTCAATACCGCCATCTTATGCCTCTCACCCTCTCCCTTCCGTCCATCTTCTGTTGTTGGCTGTCGAAGTGCCAGCCAAACTGACGACCGCCCCGACCCCAAAAAATCGGTTCTTATAGATATGCCCTTTCTACGGGGAAGTAGACTAGATGTCATTTGGTTGGTTGGTCATTTGTGGTTATTCTAAGGGATATTTCATGAGGATATTTTTAGATCCCCGCACACTATTCTACTTATTACCTCCCTACCAGTTATTCCTCTCTTGAGAATATCCCTATCATATCTCTATAACACCCCATCGAAAGTGTATATTTTCTTCGATTTCATAAGTTTCCCTCACGTTTCATGCTCTCGTTTTTCCATTCAGTTGGGTTATGAATGAACAGCGTCGAGAACGAGGCAATTAACAAGGCAAAACCCCCATCCAACCCCAGCCCCACACGACCCCCATCTCCACTGCCCCGTTCAACCTCAACCTCAGGCACGACCGCCCGTTTGGTTTTTGGTTCCGCTGTCGCCGTCATTTGCCATGGCGGCCATTGATGACGCACTTTTAGCCCTTCGCTGCTATCGGTGGCAGCACTTTCTCGCTGTGGGAGGTGGGGAGGTTGGGTGGTGGGTGGTGGGTAGGGGGTGGTGTGTTGGTTCAGGGGCACTCGCAGCGGTTTGGGGTAGGGGGTGCATAGCCGGCTTGCAACCAGTCCACAGCCCACATGAATCCACAATTGGATTTCGGTGCGCACCTGCTGCTGCTTCACTGAGAGCCCCCCCTCCCTCTTCGCTCCTCCTGGAAAACCAATTGAAATGTTGCCTGCGGCATGCAGCTGCATCTGTGTGTGCGCATTTGTATCTGTGCACTTTGCATTTGACCTACTTTCGCGAGAGCCTGTGCCTGTGCTTGGGTTCGAGCCCGGATCCGGGCACAGAGCCTCGTCGTCCCGGTCCTGGCGTACAGAGAGATGCAGCTTTGGATTCGGGCTCACGCTGCCAGGAGGGTTCTTCGCGTTTCGTTTTGTCCAATTAAATGTGCAACTCAATTATCCTCCACATCAGCGCCTCCTCCTCCGCTCCATTTCCAATTTCCATTTACATTTGGACAACGCGGCGTATGCGTGATGATGATTTCCCGGGAACCAGAGACGCTCCCGAGGGTATGCAACACGAATTTAGCTTGCAAATATCCATAATTTCTGTGGGGATTATCCTACTATACTAAGATATAACTGTAGCAGTATTTATGTTCAAAAGAAAGGGTCTTACGGTTGTTTTACAGAATCTTTAAACGCAATAACAATTTTCTAACAGCCTTACATTGATGAGCTTCAACAGACTATGGGCTCTAACAAAGTGCTTCTCTTCGGACTTACAGGAATACAGGAATATTTAAGTATGGGACTCCTGTTGCACAATCATAAAAGGAAGCATTATCTAACTATTTAAATAGTAAGAGTCATACCGATTGTATCACTTGCATACTTACACACAGAACATACAATTATTCCACAAATTCTCGAACTTCTTCTTTATCCAATAAAACATTCACAGAAATTGTGTACAATAGGATAGTAGACATATGTATATGTCGGTAGAAACCAACCGTTGGGTCATAGGCCTTTAAGGACCATCATCTTGATTTATTAGAAAAATAGAAGGGCTCCCTATTCCAGTCCTTCTGGTATGAAAAATTGGTTTTCTGAAACTATAAACATTAACGCGCTGCCACATAAAATGGGAAGCGCGATTCGCAAATCGCGATAATTATAATAATAGCAGCAACACAAATCGCCTGCAAAAATAAACGAAATGAAAATATAAAGAGGCGGCAAGAGGTTCAGTTTGAGGCGAAGCGCCCAACACGCTTCCAATTGGGAGAGTCAAATAATTCCATGACTGGCCTCCACGTCCAGTTCGTTCGATACTCTGTTTTCTGTTCAGTTTTATAGCGATTTCCATGGCAATGGTTCATCAATATATACCGAGTATTTTCATATATATATATATATATATATATATGTATCTTGTATACGGAGAATCGGAGCTGTCTATGACGTCGTTTGGGGCTCTGTGCTCACGTCATGGCACGACACGGCCAACAGCCGCACAATTTGGAAACGTTCAAACGCGCACACTTCTCGGCCACAAATAGACCGATGATGCTGCCTGCCTGCCTGCCTGCCAGCCAGCCTCTTTACTGTAGATATATCTTACGTAGATGCCACTGCGGATTCTGATTCTGATGCTGGATGTTGCTCTCCTGAAGTTTTGTCGGACTACCCGCTCTCGAAAGATGACCAACCGCCTGCGCCCGATGACGTTGATGGCTGCACAGACCAATAGTCTTTGTTTTTACAACACCCGTCCCTCTCGTCACCATCCATCTTCCCATCCGCGTTTCCATTTCCAAGTTTATGGCAATTTAAAAAGTATTTTCAAAACTAGACGAAATGTATTTTTACATCTGCCGTTTGCCACCGAAGATGCTCCTCCGATGATGATGATTTGCGTGCTGCCGTTTTCCCGCTTTTCGGTTGTGTTTAGTGCTCGTTAATTACAACTTATGTCTATTGGTCGTACGATACAGGGGCGCATCAGAGAGGAGGGGTCTACTTTGCAGAGATACCCCAAAAGTTCTGAGAGTTTTACCAAAGAAAACTTTGTTTTAAGAGTTGAAAGAATAAATTGTGAGGGGGAAAACGCATGGAAAGGAGGTAACTTCAAACATATAATTTTATCCAAAATCCTAGATTATTGTTCCCGGCCCGTTCGAGCTTATCTTTCGATTTGTCAAGGCATCGTCAAGTATGGAATCTTTGGATTCACTCTACACTTTTCGGAACTATTAGATTATATTTCAGCGGAATTGTTCAAAACCATATGATAGTTTTCATAAAAAATACTTTAAATCTTTGAATCTCTATTATTATTTAAGATTGATCCCACAATCGAACCTCTAAGAAGGCAAAAAGAATTCTCTACAAAATGCAACAGTATATGCATACCGTATGTGGGTAGATCAAATCTAGATCTGCAACATGAAGAGGTCCAAGCAACAGTAAGCCGAAACTTCTTATGGGGATCTCCGCCGAGGAATTCTGCCCCATGACGAGCGATTCGTGTATATAGAATCTACTCTGACTATATCCTTTTCTATGAATTTCTATGGTACAGTAATGGAATTCCTTATCATATGCCATGATCCCATCTATTTAATCATGTTTGATTTAAAAATCCCTCTTAGAAGAAGATTTTGAAAATTCTTTCATATAGGACAAATTCTCTGTAGAAAGTTTTCCCCTCTTTAAGCTGAAATGGTCAGAGTTCTTAATAGCGATACTCACCTTCGCATATGTAGCCCTGCTGGATGAGGCCCCAGAGCAGATCCGAGCAGTGATGACAGTACGTTGGCTTATGAAATGTCTTCTTCACGAATGAATGCCCACCATCCGCCATTTTGTTTGTCGAAGTACCGCTGCGGCTGCTCAATTCGGTGCCTCTCACCGCTCTTCTATTTTGCCTTTAGTTTCGGGTGAGGCTTTCCAACTGTTTTTTTTTGTTTTTTGTTTCTGTTTCTTCTGCGGCTGCTTCCTTTCTTGTTTCTTCTGTGGCTGCTTCTTCTCCTCTCTTTCTTCGGTGTATATAACGGTAGTGTCGTCTGGAGCCCTCTAGAGGATGCCGGCGCAACTTAGGCGGCCGCTGCAGCTTCTGCTGAGCGTCTGCTGCTGGTAAACAACGCCAGCTGCGGCAGCGCTGTCGTTGGGATCAGCGCGTAGGCGTAGGCTAGCAGATCCCGTTGCTCCTCCTGATCTGCTCTTCTGCTGCTGCTGCTGCTGCTCCTGCCTCTGCTGCTGCTTCTCCTGGATTGCTGCTGCTGCACTGCCTGCTCTGGATACTGCTGCTGCTGCTGACGACAAAAGCTCTGACAAATGGAGGACAACGACGACGACGACAAAAGTGACGACGACGACGGCTGCATTTTCATCCATTGGTCCTCCAGGTGGCGTTTCCTTTATCCAGACATTTGCTAGCCGGAAATTCGATTTTCTTTTGTTTGGTTTTTGTTGTTGTTATTTTTGATTTTATGTTAATTTTGTTGCGTTTAGAAGGCTATATATCTATATACATACATTAAGCAAGTCTGAGTGTATAATATTTATATGGTTTTATGGCATTTTCTATATTTGGTTTTGTTTTATTCGGGTTTTCCGCTCTCTGTTTTGGTGGAGTTTTTTGGTTACTTATATACAATCTGGCAAAGATTTCTGCACTAAAGAAAAATACACAAATTCATTATTTCTTTGTGTCTTTTGCACAGTTTTTTGTTTTATTTTCATTTTTGGTTGGTTTTCATTTCACTTTTCCCACACGCGAGGCACACTTCTTTCACTTTTTGTCGCTTCTGAATGCAGCAGAAGCGAAACTGTGTTTTCTTTCGGACTCTTTTCCTTTGTGCCTGTTCTCCTATTGCTTCTCCTACTTCTTCTGATTCCTCGTTTTGCTGCCTGCCTTGCTGCTACGTGGGCGCCATCGCACCGCACCCCCCTTTAACAGAAACAACCGTTTCCAGATAATAAAATCCACACAAGCGGGAGAGAGAAAGTGGAGTTGCTGAGCGAAAGATATGGGAAGAGAGGAGTTTCCGCGAGAAAGCTATGAAGGGAGAGAGAGCGAAAGGTTGAGTTGCTGTGGGAGAGCACTGCGCAAGAGAGGGAGAGGCAGAGGATAAGAGCCCGCAGAGAGTGCGTCGCGCGTCATGCGTGGTGAGTTTTTTGGCCGAAAGTTCCCGTTATTCCAAGCACCATAAAAAAGCAGTAGACCATCAATATAATAATAGAAGTGGCAAAAATATGATATCAACAGCCTGGCCCTCTAAAATGAGAGAGAGAAAGCAACAGAGCTCAAGAGCGAAAAAGATAGTAGCACTGCACTTTGGTTTTTTCGCGTTTCGTTTTTCTTGTTTTTCACCAAAAGTATTTTTTCTCACTGACTTTCGCCCTCAAGTATGCAACATGTTTTCTCACTGCGAACAGCACCACTCCTACAGCCACCCGCCACACACCCACAACCCACTTTTGAAGGGGAAGGACTCGCACTGCCCCAAGGACAAACCAGTCAAATATTATATCATCCAGTGCCTAATAATAGACGAGCACAACGTTAACGGCACTTGAAATTATTCAGCTCGATGACAGTAACCGACGACAGCTAAGCGGATAGCCCCACTCAGGCTTTGGAGATACTCTTACAATATATCTGACGACGTGGAATGTGCCCATATCCATGTCGCAAGCAAGTCCAAGTCCATGTCCTGGCTGCTGCTGCTGGGGCCTCAAGATGCGCGTCATGCGCACACTGGAACTCACCTCCACCCCAAAATCCACCACACAGGCACAGCAGCGGGTCCTCAAGTTTAAGGACAAAGTGTATTTCTACAAGGTGAGGAGCATGAGCATTCCACATTCCCAAGTTGCTTATTTTCTGAGCCACTCTCTCATTCTGGTACAAAATACGCTCTGATTCTGAGAGCGCTTTTTGGCAAAGCCTTTCCACATTCTATGCACTTTTGTCAAAGGATAAATCACAATTTTATTGCAAACTTTTATCTTCTGATCTGATCGGGGAGAGAGACCGCAACAGCTAATGTTAAGGAGGAAATATTTATGCTATGCTATATATTCTTTTGGATCCGAAAGATCCGAAAGAAAGAGATGCAAAGAGATAATGGTACTTCGGGTGCTTGCTGCTGCTGCTGCTGCTACTGTGTGCTCGTGTGGAGGGGCTATACAAACACGCAGTACTGTTATAGATGTGGATGTATGTGTATCTATAGACAAAAGCAGGCGGCAGTACTTCGCACCCATAGCGGGCCGTGGCGCCCATTCGAATGCCCCCCTACACGTCTCTCATAACAGTACTCCCTCTCTCCCACCCACTCTCTCTCTCTCTCTTTCCTTGGCGCAATGCTGCGCGCTTCGCTCTTTTCGGGTCGCATGAGCAAATCGCAATAGATAGAGAATTTTTTTTCTTCCTTCTTCTTTGGTGGCGCGGCCTGCTGCTCCTGGTTTATTCCTTGCCCCACACACACACCCGAACACACGCTCACATACACTCTGGATGGCCTTGTCTTTGGTGTGTTTTTTGTATTTTCAGGGCTAAACACTTGAAAAACAGGTGAATAGCAGGCAGCGTTGGCAAGCCTTTGATAGAACTTTTATGGCTAGATCTTAGAGTTAGGCCTTCTCAGCGGCCACTGCCTGGAATTTTTTTTCAGCCTACGCTCCCGCACTTTGCACATATGACAACGTAATTTTCACACAAACACGCACACAACACACACTCCCCCTCCTAGAGAGAGAGTGAGCGAGAGCGAAAGAGAGGAGAGTCGGGAATTTTATGTACCATATATTTTCCACGGGACTTCGGGGGCCAGACAACGGTCGCCACTGAAGCTGCAAAATTTTTTTGCACACACAATTTTTCACATTTTCATAATTTTTAAAGATTTTCACTTCGGGTTTTCCACGCGTTTTTCTCAATAGGCGTTCCGTACCTTACTGTTATTCCCGTTGTCCCGTCTTTCCGTTAATCTTTTTTTTGTTGTTGCTGGATTACATTTTTTGTGCGTTCTGCGGTTGCTGCCACTTTTGCCACTGCCACTAGGGGGCTGTGTTCTTTTTTGTGTGGAAAATTTTCACCGATTCGAGCAGAGTTTCCTTCTTTTCTTGTACATTTTTCTTTGCTTTGTGTGTGGTGTGTGAAAATTTTCTTCTTCTCTCCTGTGCGCTGCCGCTGCTGCTATTCTGTGCTATGTGTGGCAGTGCCCCGTAAACCGAAACTGCTGGCTGGCTGACGCTGGCCCGTTGGATTCGGCCTCTCGCGCTGCACGAAAAATGGGAAAACTGTTTGTTCGGTTCGGGCCATAGAAGAGCGCGCATGCGCCTACTATTTCGCACATTTCTTATCACCTAAGCTGTCAAACTGACGGAATTCACGTCGCACAGTGGCGCCCTTTCCCGATTAACATTGGAAAACTCGAAATGTAAATTCAAAAACGTATTCAGTATCGATAGGCGATTTATTGTTAATTGGTTCCCATATTTTCGAGTTTTTTCGGACTTCTATGAGCCCTAAACCTGAAGCTAAAATACTGTCTGTTGAAAAATATTGAAGGCATTTCTTTCTTCATTCTTATTTGGCAAGTATGATCATAATTCATGATAAGAAATGATATAACGCTATTCTATTCAGAGAAAACATGTACCTCCATATAAAATGTAATCCATTGTATTATAACTATCTATTATTCAGGTCGTCGCCTGAAATTTTATTTTCACAGGTACAAATGACTGAAATATAGCTGCTGTTAAAACTGTCATCCGTGTAAGCTATTATTGGGTAATAAAAAATAATAACAATAATATTTTGGATGACAACGTTTACTAATACTTCTGTTACCTTTCCTATTATGTACCCTGGGATAGGAATCACCTCTACTGAATCCAATTCTAATGTTAAGTGTCTCTCCCGCTTCCCGCTCTCACCGCCTCGTGTGCTGAGAGAGAGAGAGAGAGAGAATACAAATGTAATCAACAATTTGTTGGCTGCTGCCGGTGCTGCCAACATGTTAGAGGTTGGCTCCAACCCCACTCCCACCACCCCCAAGAGTGTGGCCATATTGCTGCGGGGGAAAAAAACCAAACTCAGGGAAACAGTTACACTCGATACTTTTATTTGATTATTTACTTTTGGATATATATGTAGTTGGTATATGGGATGTGGTATATTTTGTATAGGGTGTCTTTTCATCAGATTTATCTTATATATCTAGAGTTGAGCACACCGTCGATTATTCCTTTTATTTCGCTTTGCTTTGCGTTGCTTATCCTTTAAGTTGTCCTTTAAAAGAATGAATGTGTGTGTGTGTTTTTATTGGGGTAGGGGTGTAAAATGTACTTTTGCAAATTGTATTTGCCAAGCGATATAGGGAGTATAATCTATAAAAAACTGACGGACTTTTAAGTTTAGGTTTGAATACATATACACGCATACATTTTAAGGCAAAATAAGTACTGTTATATTTTGATGGACCTGCCAACTTATCCCAGGCCATGATCATCGAAGAAACTCTGCGGGGTCTCATCCTGTAAAAGGGAGAAGGCTTTACTTCAGTTTTGGCTTTGGTTCGGTTTTTGCTGAAGCGGGGAGATGTACTAAGAAATCATATCATAAAAGCATCGATACTGTTGGCTAGCCCACAAAAATATGCTATAAAAGAAAGATTAAGAACTAAAACAACAGGACGACACCAAAAGGGTGCACTAAGCCTAGACATAGAGAGAATATTAGAGTGAAACAGAGAGAGTGGAGAACAGTGGAGAGTCAAGGTCAGAGAGCAGTCAGTATGACACAACAGCAACAACATCAATTCAATCAAAAGGAATACTCAAAAAATGACATACGATACATATAAAATAATATACTAAAGACTCTGGATCGGCAGCTCAAAGTTCTTACCATTATCCATTCATCATAATAGACATAGTGGTATACGAGTACTTTTATCTTTTGGAAAAATACTTTTGTTTTTTATTTTAAGTTTTACAAAAACACAGAAAATTTGGCTAAAACGTACAACACACATACATAAACAGATACCATATATTGTAGATATATATATTGTATATAGACTATAGTTTATTCAGTTAGCACTAAAGGATGAATATTACATTCTTTTTATTTAATTTCTTTGTTTCAATTATATATTTTTCATGTTCCACATTAAAGCTTACTTTTTTCTATGGTAAAAATAGTATTGCATATATCCCCTCTCTAATATTTAATTATTGCCCATTTGATGACTGATTTGGAATGATCTTTCATGTATATATAGTAGACGAGGAATATTAATTCAATTGCTGGATTGAGTTTAATGATCGATCGGTAGGTAACCTTGGATGGCTGGCTCTACGTGAGTTTTGAGGTGTTTTGCATGAACTTTTTGCCTGTCTGTAGGATCTACATATGTATATGCATGTGTGCGTGTGTGTGTGTGTATATATTCTTATCGATAAAATCAACCAATAGATGTGTAGGAACCGTATGCCAATGTATTTGCCATGGGAATAACTATCATTTATATGTACTTGGTTTTGTTTTTCTCTGTGGGTTTTTATTGCTTTGGAGCCTCCCTTGCTGCCTCCCTCTTCTTTTGCTTCAGGGTTTCAGTGCTGTACAACAGCCCCAACTCACACACACATATACACATACACATCGAGGAGCAATGGTGGGCAAGTGTCAAAAGAGTGCTGTGTGCATGTGTGTGTTCAGAGGATTGCTGTTCGTGTGTGCTTTCGTGTGGGTTGTGTTTGTTTGTTTAAATATCAACTACATGGATTCTACGGAATTTGTCTTTTAGAGTAGTCCAATATCTCTTAAAGTGCCCTCAACGGCTTCGTCCTGGAGTACACAGAATAGAGAGAACAATAAGAACGAGAAGAGTAGATGGAAGAAATAGTAGTAGCAGTAGTATGTAGTTTCAGTGGTAGTATCAGATGTGTACTGTGAGTGGTGGTATATGTTGTTTGTTTTTTTTTCCGATTTTCACGGCACATTTGTGAGTGAGCAAGTGGTGGGTGGGCGATGCAAGAGAACTCGGAACATCACAGCGCAGGGATTTTGGCCAGAGAGGGGAAAGAAGCGTTGCATATGTTGCACACATATATGTATATATACAGCTCGACTGATCTGACCTAGACACTCCACTACACAACCCTTTTGGGGGTGGGGCTCCCTGTGGCAGGGGCTCTACGACAAAGTACATATTTTACATAGAGAGATTACACTTGTTTTCTTTTTTTTTGGGTATGGTATGGGGTTTTCATCTAGTTCAGATACTCATTGAAGTCCTGCGATTGTTGTTGGTTTGTTGGTTGGTTGGTGGTGGTGTTACATCGATTTATGCAGTGGCGGGTAGGGAAAGCGTTAATAATAACAAGAGAAAGGGTATAATGGTTACACACTTATATGGCTTATATGTATACAAAAATTATTGGATGTACGGTATGTCTAGTTAGTATAGGAAACTGTCAAACTACCAAAGATCATGCAAAACAATCCAAACTACAACGTTAGAGTTATGATATTCTTATAGCTAACAAAAACACAAAATTGACTACAGATCAATCCGGTAATCCGCTAATCGGTAGGTAGGTAGGTAAATGGCAATCAATTGTGGACGGAACTACGTTGGCTTTTAGGTTGTACGTACAATGTACAATGTTTAGCGATATCTATGGCAAGTTCAATACTGTATAAATAACTCTTGAAAAATTCTCACAATTCGTTTCGTTTTCGGCGGAGGGCAAGTCTGTGGCACGCAACTGAGGCATGCAATCAATTTTCGAGGCGTTTACAACTTGTGTGTGCTTTACAATATCTTCAATGTTTAGGATCTAGTTATTAACAAAAATGAACAACACACACAGACGGAATCGTATCTTAGGACTATTGCAGCGAGTAAAAGAACTCTTCTTGCTTCTTGCGATTGTTGGTTAGATTTGGTTTTTGTGTACAGACGTGTTTTAAGATATTAGTTTCGATTGCACAAATTAGAGAAACAAAAGAAACAAAAGTAAGTAATAGTAAATAAGAAGACAGAGAGATAGAGAACCATGATATGCATATATGAGGTAATATAATGATTCGGTTCGGGGTTGCAACAGGCTTTTAGGAAATGAATGGCATTTAAAGGCATTTATAGTAAATATAGATGGAAACAAACACTAACAAGATAACGAAACTAAAAACCAGCGAATCGATAAATATGTAAAACAATTAACAATATCCGGCATATATATAGTATAAAGATATACATATATACATATGTATATATAGATTCGACACAACCGCTAGGCATTACAGATCATATGTCTCGGGTGTACTGACCTCTTGTAGCAGATCCTGTGAGGCAATCGCTTTAAGTACATTCTTCTTCGATGTCTCCTGGATCTCGCCGCCAATTAGCAGCTCATCGAGAATGAAATACGCCTTCTCGAAGTTGAATATGATGTCCAGCTCGCAAACCTATGAGAAAATCAACCAAATTGTAGTGCTTCTTTGATGGCAGGTGTCTAAAAATGGCACTTACGCTGCCAAAGTACTTATCCAGCAGCTCCACGTAGCGATGGATGATCTCTAGGGTCAGCAACTCATTGTCGTTCTGCTCGATGGCGCAACAGAAGTACAAGCTGGCATATCTTTACAAAAAATAAAAATAGAAGGATCAGTCAGAGATGCCTTTGGAGAAGGGAATCCCATTGTCGCACCTCTTGTATACGATTTTGCAGTCCTTCCACTCCAGGAACGAGCACATCTTGGGCTTGCGGGCCAGTATCGTGGTCACTAACTCGCGGGTGATCTTCTTTTTCACCTTATCTGGATAGGCCATGTACCACTTCTGCAGCCGTAGCTTGCCCTGCCGACTGAACAGCAGCATGAAAAGCATCTACAGCGAAGGGGAGTAGGATTATCATCGATTTGCTACAGCAGTCATTAATTTTTTAAATACTTTAAGCCACAATTTTTCCCACTGACACAGTCATCAGGCACACACACACACACGCTGAGCCACAAATGAGCCAACATCAGCACCAGAAACACAACACGAAAACCAAAGATTTCTCTTTCAAATCCTTTATGTACTGTACGCTATATTTCTATTAACCTTACCATTCTTTGGGGCTAGGCCTTTTTGTGTTTATATTTGCGGCCACTTTTCTCTTAAAATTTAACAGGAAAATAGTATTTTTTCATGCACACTGTGTACCTGGCGTTATCAATATACCGTCTGACCCGCAGAAATATACCGTAAATATACCGATAAGAAAACGAACTTAGTCCACTTAAGCCCCCTTTATTTAAACAGTTTAACGACTTGAGGTAAATGGCGAAAAATATTACTGATTGTAAGTTCTTCTTGTAGATGCATTCCATATATCCTATGAACTAAATAAAACTATGCTCAAACAATTCAATTTTCATTATTTTAGAATTTTGGTGGAATATTTAAATACCTCCTTGTCTACAATGGGCTAATCATTCTCCGTCCAGGATTATAGCTCGATTTTGATTTTCCTAGCTATCTAAGACTTTCATACCTGAACATATAAATTTATCCGATTAGGGAATTCATTTTCCATATAACTGATTAATTTTAAGGACTCTTTTTAATGAATTTAGTCTAAAAATAAGGTTTTAGAAAAACAGGTCAGACAATTTTAATATTCCGTTGAATATTTCTGGCTTACTACCCAAGTAGTTTTGTCCCAATGGTGAATAAATTCTCTACAAGATTTTAAGTACTCCCATATATTGAATTTGGGCTAAAACAAGATTATAAATATATATAAATCAGCCCTGGGTCTAGTTGCCACTTGCAATATTGTCCATCCCTATTGTGTGTACGTTAGCAGCTGGCCGTACTCGTGCCGTTTTTAAGCCGTGGAATTTCATCAATCGAATTTAATTTGCAAGCGAATATGTCAATAAAGCTCAAAGCAAACATCAACAATCCGCCTATAAGTAAGTTTTTTCGAAGCCGTATCGAGTATCACAAACAACCTCTGTGCCCTTTGTGAGGTTATATCGGAACGCACCGCAAAGTCTATTTATGTACAAAATTATCACCGATTCGTGGGGTTATTGCATCAGTTTTTCTATGATTCGATATTAATTTGCGAACATCCGCAGGTGGGCTGGCAACGGCGCATCTTATCAGCGCAACGGTGCCAGTGGAGATAGTCTGGAGCAAGGAGGAGACCTCGCTGCAGTTCCCGGACAACCGCCTGCTGGTGTGCCACTCCAACAACGATGTGCTGCGCGCCCTGGCCCGTGCCGCTCCCGACTACAAGCTGTATGGCGAGACGGCTATCGAGCGGACACAGATCGACCATTGGCTGTCCTTTTCGCTAACATGCGAGGACGACATCTCGTGGGCCATGTCCTTCCTGGACAAGTCGATAGCGCCGGTCACTTATCTGGTGGCCAACAAGCTGACCATCGCCGACTTTGCCCTCTTCAACGAGATGCACTCGCGCTATGAGTTCCTCGCCTCCCAGGGCATCCCCCAGCATGTCCAGCGCTGGTATGACCTGATCACTGCCCAGCCTCTGATCCAGAAGGTGCTGCAGTCGCTGCCGGAGGAGGCCCGCTCCTCGGCCAAGCGGGTGAAGCGCAGTCCTAATGCCTCCAAGGAGCAGACGCCTGCCAAGGGCGGAGAGCGCAAGCAGGAGGGCAAATTTGTGGATCTTCCCGGCGCCGAGATGGGCAAGGTTATTGTCCGCTTTCCCCCAGAGGCTTCGGGCTACCTGCACATCGGACACGCCAAGGCGGCGTTACTCAATCAGTACTACGCCCTGGCCTTCCAGGGCACACTCATCATGCGCTTCGACGACACCAATCCGGCCAAGGAGACGGTCGAGTTTGAGAATGTCATTCTTGGCGACTTGGAGCTGCTCCAGATCAAGCCGGATGTCTTCACGCACACCTCCAACTACTTCGATCTGATGCTGGACTACTGCGTCCAATTGCTGAAGGAGAGCAAGGCATATGTGGACGACACACCGCCGGAGCAGATGAAGCTGGAGCGCGAACAGCGCGTGGAGTCGGCCAATCGCTCCAACTGTAAGTGGAGGAATCGACTATCCCTTGAAGGCTAGTAATCCTTTGTATCGCCCGATAACAGCTGTAGAGAAGAATCTGTCGTTGTGGCAGGAGATGGTCAATGGCTCGGAGGCCGGACAGAAGTGTTGCGTGCGGGCCAAGATCGACATGTCCTCGCCGAACGGCTGCATGCGTGATCCCACCATCTATCGCTGCAAGAACGAACCGCATCCACGGACAGGCACCAAATACAAGTGGGTATCCTCCTTAAGGATCTTCCCTAGAATCGCACTTACCTCCTTCGGTACCTTCTCTCTTGCAGGGTCTATCCAACATATGACTTTGCCTGCCCCATAGTCGATGCCATCGAGAATGTTACCCACACGCTGCGCACCATGGAGTACCACGATCGCGATGACCAGTTTTATTGGTTCATCGATGCGCTGAAGCTGCGCAAGCCGTACATCTGGGAATACAGTCGCTTGAACATGACCAACACGGTGCTGTCGAAGCGCAAGCTCACGTGGTTCGTGGACTCTGGATTGGTGGACGGCTGGGATGATCCTCGCTTCCCCACAGTGCGTGGAATTCTCCGGCGCGGCCTGACCGTCGAGGGCCTCAGGGAGTTCATCATTGCCCAGGGCAGCAGCAAGTCCGTGGTGTTCATGAATTGGGATAAGATCTGGGCGTTCAACAAGAAGCTGATCGATCCCATTGCTCCCCGTTACACGGCCCTCGAGCAGGAGAAGCGTGTGATTGTGAATGTGGCGGGGGCCAAGGTGGAGCAGATCCAAGTGCCTGTCCATCCCAAGGATGAAGCGCTGGGTAAAAAGACTGTGACCCTTGGCCCACGTATCTACATCGATTACGTGGATGCCGAAGCCCTGAAGGAGGGCGAGAATGCCACCTTCATCAACTGGGGAAATCTGCTAATCAAGAAAGTCCACAAGGATGGCTCCGGCATCATCACGTCCGTGGATGCCGCTCTCAATTTGGAAAACAAGGACTTCAAGAAGACCCTCAAGCTGACGTGGTTGGCGGTGGAATCTGACCCCGCTGCCTATCCACCCACCTTCTGTGTCTATTTCGACAACATCATCAGCAAGGCTGTCCTGGGCAAGGACGAGGACTTCAAGCAGTATATTGGACACAAGACACGCGACGAGGTCGCCATGCTGGGTGATCCCGAGCTGAAAAAGTGCAAAAAGGGCGACATCATCCAGCTGCAGCGTCGTGGCTTCTTCAAGGTGGACAATGCCTATGCTCCGCCCAGCCCCTACTCGAATGTCCCCTCGCCCATCATCCTGTTCTCCATTCCCGATGGCCATACCAAGGATGTGCCCAGTTCTGGCCTGAAGGTCAATGCTGCGGATGCCAAGACAACGGTGAGTACTGCACATAGGGGTAGAATCAGAGATATTTCTTTCTAGGGGGAATTTGTGTTCTTTCGTATAATTGGAATTGTATGCCCATACTTAAGAGTGTTCTGCAATAGAATTATTTTCCCGGCCAGTGGTCTGTCTGTCTTATAATAAGATCTAAAAATTTCTGTAAAAGATGGGCCCTTCTCTTCGATTGGCAGGATAGGAGTAGTATATTTTATACTTGCTGCTTCCCATAGCAACCCATAGATAGTTTTCAGAACAGTTCTTTATTTGGAAGTACGTATTTATGGTTGTCTACCTTAATTTCATACTGAATTTTATCGAATGACATTTGATTGGGGAGTTCTTGGAACGATCGCTTTATAGCCCCATATGATTAGACTTTCAAATGTGCATAAACCCAAGTAAGGATGATCTTCAAAGTGATTTACTTTATCTAACTTGACTGTTGGCTGTATCCTAAAGTAAATATTGGAAATAAATTATGATCCATTGTCTGTTTCTCAAAACACGCAAAAGATTGTCTTAGGTTTAAAATGTTTCCCATTGCATCTAATCCATTCCTGTGTTAGAGTATTCAAAGAGCGACCTGCTCTACCTGTCACTCTTCCTATGCCTTTTGCGATCTCTCTCCCTCTGTTTCTCTCTCTATCTCCAATTTACTCTCCACTTATGTGCCGCCCTCTGTCGGAGTAAACAGGTATCTGCGATCGCCACGAGCAGCCGTACGCGTCGAAAGAAGAAGCATGGTGGCCAAGAAAGAGCCTCATTAATGCATTCCATTCCGGCTTGCTGACGTACCCAAAATACAAAACAAACTTGTGAAAGGTGAAACCTAAAGACAATTCTTTACCTTACAGAAAAAGACATCCTCTCCTGCTGCCCCTGCATCCGCTGGAGCCTCAAACGACAAGGCTGCGGAACTGGACAAACTGATTGGCCAACAAGGCGATTTGGTGCGTGAACTGAAGACCAAGAAGGCCGCCAAGGAGCAAGTCGATGCTGAGGTGAAAAAGCTGCTCGGCCTGAAGGCGGACTACAAGGCAGCCACTGGCAAGGACTGGAAACCAGGCCAAACACCTACCCCAGCCTCCACTACTGCTCCCACGGCCAATGCCAACGACGCGGGATCCGTCAACGCCAGCATAGTCAAGCAGGGAGAACTTGTGCGCGACCTCAAGGGCAAAAAGGCGGCCAAGCCAGAGGTTGAGGCTGCTGTCAAGGTGCTTCTAGAGCTGAAAGCTCAGTACAAATCCCTAACCGGACAGGACTGGAAACCAGGCACTGTAGCACCCGCTCCAGCACCAGCTAAAGCTGCTGCTGCTGCTCCAACTGGCAGCGATTCGGTGGGGACCATCCTAGCCCAGATCACGTCCCAAGGCGACAAAGTACGAGAGCTGAAAACAGCCAAAGCCGATAAGGCCACTATCGACGCAGCCGTGAAGACGCTGCTCGGCCTGAAGGCAGACTACAAGGCAGCCACTGGCACCGACTGGAAGCCAGGCATCACAGCCCCAGCTCCAGCCCCGGCGGCGGTCAAAGTCAAACTGGAAAAGTTCCCGGAGCCGGCTCCCCCTGCAGCAGTGGGCCCATTGCTGACGAAGATCGCACAGCAGGGCGACAAGATTCGCGATCTAAAGGCAGCCAAGACGGAGAAGTCACTGGTGGAACCAGAAGTCAAGCTGCTGCTGGCCCTTAAGGCGGATTACAAGTCGCTGACGGGACAAGACTGGAAACCAGGCACTGTGGCACCAGCTGCAGCT